AGTGAATCATCTTATCTGAATCATAAGTATTGTAATATTTATTAGGTACACTGGAGTAAAAAACAGAGTACTGAATTTTCAATCTTTACACTAGAGTCAAGTAACAATCAATTCCCAGAGTTATTTTTAACCCAATACAGTGTAAAATATGACTCAATTATAGTGTAAATATCTTAAGAGTAACTTTAACTATGAAAATATTGAGACATTATGTTCACTCATTCAGGGTTGATTTGACACTGTTAAGAGTTGAAATAACACTGCTAATTTTGCAGTTATGATATCATTAATACCACATGCAGCGTTATCAAATCATGTCCTGGTGCCACCGTCTGAAGAACTTAGTGGCACCGGTGCAACTTTTAATGCCTGAAGCCCTGCATATATACGTTATATACATAAATTTACGTTCTGATATAAATATATAGAGCGCAGAATCTATTGAGATGAAAGTGAATATTCCAGAGGGCTGTCTGCTTGTAGGCTCTGATGTCTGGATATAAGTCTCAGTCGTCAGCGTGTTCAGAAGAGACTGACAGTGAGCGTCACTGCTGGAGATGTGAAGCAGTGCTGATGTGCATGAAGAAGAGCACAGATGCAGTTCAGTGAATGTGTGGAGCGCTGCTGCCCCCTGCTGACCGATGACACATTGACCTCTCTGAGTTATCTGATCATGCAGAAAGAGAACCAAGGCTTGACAATAGCAGAGACTCTAAAATTGGAAGAAGAAATTACTATTTTTAAGCATTTTCAATTGTATTTTTCTTCTGGAGAAAGGAAAAGTTTTCTTTTAGTTTTGGCTGGAGTAAATAAAAGTATTTTTTTTAATGAAACTGCTTAGGTCTATATTATTAGCCCTCTTTTGGCTACAGAAGAGATCCGTGTTGTCCAATGACTTGCCTATAGTTAAGCCTTTAAATTGTACTTTAAGCAATACTTATAATAATGCTTAACTATTGGGTTGCACGTTGGCTCAGTGGCTAGCACTGTGCCCTAACAGCAAGAAGGTCCCGGCTGGGCCAGTTGGCATTTCTGTGTAGAGTTTGCAAGTTCTCCCCATGTTGGCATGCGTTTCCTCTGGGTGCTCCGGTTTCCCCCACAGTCCAAACACATGCGCTATAGGGGAATTGATGAACTGAATTGGCCGTAGTGTGTGAATGTGTGTATGAACGCCTCGTAAAACATATGCTGGAATAGTTGGGGGTTCATTCCGCTGTGGTGACCCCTGATGAATAAAGGAGTATAAATTTATTGTCATTTAATCAATCAATCAATTTATAAATGTAGTTTGATGTTGACAAAATTTATTTTAATTAAATTAAATGAACAAACAAGCAAATAAATAAGGGGATCTCTGATCTTTGACCCATTATACAAAAGTGAAGAACTCCAGAGGAAATCAAAAAGCGAGGATGATTTTCCTGTTTCTCACGCACAGTCAGGCCTGATTTCACACCATTTAAAAAACGCTTAACTTTTGCCTGAAAGGTCAAAAATAAAGAGTCTGATATGACGGAGAGAGAAAGAGACACAGATACATATTCCTGGAAGGGATTTTGCGGAGCTCTGGGCTTAATCTGCTTTACCCACCCTGAAGCAGTCGCTCTAATCCACCTGCTTTATACGTTGAGCTTATTTGTATTCATCTAAAAACTCTGTGAGCAGCAGGTCTGCAGAATAGAGCGGGGCAACAATGGCTGATGCTCAGGTGGCTGAAGCCAAAGAGAAAAATACAGCAGATGACGGATATCAGACTCCTCTGCACATGCTCTAGGCACTGAGATTCTGACGGTATGATAACCCTGAATAAAAATGCACGGTATCACAGTATTGTAATTACTACTCTCTAAAATATGTTGCTTTTAAATGTCTGGGTTAAATAAAAACAACAACATTTACCCCCACTGAACACAATATATTTTACTTTAGGAAACTAAGTTAGGGTGCTTTCACACCTGTGAATCGATTCAGTTGTTTTGAAACCGAGATTACAATTGTTACATTGTTGCTCTTTGCTCTTGGTGCGGTTCGCTTTCACACTGCAAAGTTTCTAATCGGACCAAAAGAGCCAAAACAAGTCACGTGTGAGTAAACTCTCCTCACATTGGTCAGAGTGTCAGGGTTTATTTTGCGGAGTCCCGCTCAGCTGTCAGGAGAGGTGGTGGTTTGGTGGTGTATAAAGGTTCGTGCGACATGTCAGAAGAGTTAGGAGAGATGCGGTGGGGAGGGGTGAGAAGGGTGCCCGACATAGCCTATTTGAGGACCGGGAGGGAGACACAAGATTGCCAGGAGATTATCATTCGTTTGCGGGCATCCGGAGACTCGCAAAACTTTCCGCCCTACTCATAATTCTCTCTTTATGTAACCGTATGCCTATTACATATCCATAAAACACTGTGATATAACCGCGCTCGGATCAGATCGATTTCTCACTGCAATCGATACGCTCCAGAGTTTGTTTCAATCGAGCCGAGACCAACTCACTCAAGCGATCTCGGAGCGATTGATTAGGCTCTGTCTCTGGATCTGAGAGCAATTAGTGGTTTCACATATCCCAAACGAACCGCGCTAACTGGGCAAACGAGACAGATTGCGAAACAAAAGTTTAGGTGTGAAAGCACCCTTAAGCCTGATTTATACTTCTGCGTCAGGTGACCGGCGTAACTCACGGCGCATGCAACTGTGCATTTATACTTCTGCGCGCTGTCTCTGTCGGTCTGCATAAACACTTCCGAAACGCTAGTTGGCAGTGAGGTGTAAATGTTCCTCTGTGTCGAGTTTCTTCTTTGCTGTTTTGCTTTTCCTGAACACCGGGATGTACAAGTGGCTCAAACTCGCTCATTTTGAGGCAGGAACTGGCGGACGTGCAACAACTTTAACTATGAGGTAAACACAAAACAAAACTTTCCATCCGGAGCTCCTTCACGGGACTCCACACTTGTAAACAATCGCTCGCGACATTCGCGCGGCTCTCAGTCCCGCCCAGACTCGTCAGCGCTACCAAGCCGACCAATCACAGAGCTTACGCTTGCGACGTGTAGTTACATTTTTTTTACGGCCTAAGGGCCTACTCACACTATGCCATCCGTACCGTGCACAGGCCTGTTTCCCGGATCGTTTGAGAAGTGTGAGTGCGCTGAATCGCGCTCAAGCACGGTTCACTTGGCCGGCCCTGGCCCGGTTGGAAGAGGTGTGCCTGAGCGCGGATCACTTGGGCGAAACCGAAAGCGAGACGTGACTTTTAAGGCACTGTTTGATATGGATTTATTAATCATTCTTACTGTTCAGTGATCGCAAACTGCCGTAGTTAATTAAAGACGCAAACTCCTCACAGCACGCCAGCTGCGCGCCTTCAGCAGACCTCCTCATTCCTGCAGCACGAGAGCTTTATGATTGTTTATGAGCGCCAAAAGTGGCGGATCTGTCCGGTGAAATATCTGACTGCCTGTCCCCGCATCCATAAGGACTGTTTGGCGAAATATTTGACGGCATATCAAACGACTGAAACGATATAACTAGAGAAATCTCCACTGTGCTACTGGGTGAGAGCGTATGGCAAGCCGTTTTAGCATTTAAACCTTGTTCTGACTATCCATAAATATATTTAGAGATATCTCTAATTATATTTTGACTAGTCATAATTATAATTCGACTAGTCAGATTGACAATTAGAGATATCTGTAATTACAATTGTACTAGTACGAATCAGATTGGAGATATCTGCAAATATATTATGACTAGTCATATTCCTCCACTGACTTCCATTGAAAAATATTTGCAGATATCTCTAAATGAGTTTTGACTCGTAAAAAAAACAATTCAAGATATCTACAACTGTAATTAAACTATTATTAAATTAATTAGAGATATCTTTAAATATATTTGTAAATATCTCTAAATATGATGAATTAAAGATATCTCCAAATGTATTATGACTAGTAACAACTCAGTTGGAGATATCTCTAATTACAATTGTGACTAGTCAAAACTCATTTAGAGATATCTGCAAATATTTTTCAATGGAAGTCAATGGAGGAATATGACTAGTCATAATATATTTGCAGATATCTCCAATCTGATTTCGTACTAGTACAATTGCAATTGCAGAAATCTCTAATTGTCATTCTGACTAGTGGAATTATAATTATGACTAGTCAAAATATAATTAGAGATATCTCTAAATATATTTATGGAGTCAGAACAAAGATTTAAATGCTAAAAAGGCTTGCCATAGAGAGCGCTTCTCACTGAAGAGAGCAAGAGCAGCAGCGATGACGTAAGCGTGCCGAGGCCCGATATGGTGTGAGCGCGGGCCGTCGGGGGAGACGGGAGGGGGGACAAGCGTGCTTTGGCCCGGTTCGAGGCAACTGTACCTAGTGTGAGTACGGCCTAAGAGACTTATTTTACCGCTTGTAAAGGGGGTTTAATGGATCACCTTTAAAGCTAAATAATAACATTAAAACCAGTTAAATAGTAAAATCATATGCAGTAAACAATAACAGCATCTGTTTTGTTTATTTTACATTTTCGTTTATGAAGCTGTCAAACTGGAATTCAACAGCTCTGGTCACGTGACTGTGTAACTACAGCCAATAGAAAGTACGACAGCCTGTCCTTTCATGTAAAACGCTATAGAAAATACACCTGTTGTGACCATCAGAATTAAAATATCAATTAATTAAAACAAACTTTCCATGGGACAACAACCTAAAAGCTAAACCTGTAAAATATATTTAAAAATATGATCGTTTCCATAGTCGTTTCTGAATTAAATAGGCTAATTTTTTATTTTTAACAATTGCACTTGTGTTAGTTGCAAACTGTGAACTTTCAGATTGTTGTATTATTATATATTATTGTTTTTTCAGTTTGTTATATTATCATGCGTCATTCTAATCTGCTGGTGAACTAAACAGATGATTCAGTTCAGAATCACACAAACACGCGAGTCTTTTACTGTGAAATAATCTGCTACGATTGAGTTGTATCTGTGCGCTTACCAGTCCCTCGATTTGGATCTGTTTGACAGGTGTATCCAGTGTTTTTCCATTCGGGGTTTCTTTACGGGATGCCATTATTATTATTATCTTGATGAGCGCCGGGGATTCAAGAATCGAGAAGACCGTTAAACGAGCGGCTTCCGGCGAGCCGTTTGCGTCGAGTGAATCATTCATTAGAGTCGAATCTTTTTAATGATCGAACTGTTTCTAAAACAACCAACCACAACCAACCACAACCAACAAGAACAGTGTCTTTTTTTATAAACTTTTATTAAGAAAAGAAGAAATGTACAACATTAATCAGGAAGTAATCTGTAGAATATTAGAATACAAGAATATACGAATACAAAGTGATAAGAACAATAAATAAAAAAGAAAAAAAGAATAGAAAAAAAGAAAAAAAGGAGAACAAAATGAAGAAAGGGGAAGTACAAAATTAAATTAAATAAAGAAATACAGAAAGCATTAATTACTAACATACTGGAAGCATGATATTTTCATAAGTTTCTATTAATTTGCAGAATGTTTTGTTGTTAGACAGTCGTATAGCTTTAAGTAAAGAATCAAATTCAATTAAAAAATGGGCAAATGAGGGAGAGGTTTTAAGAAATTTTCGTTTGTGGATAAAGAGTTTTGCATATAATATAGAAAAAAGTGTATATATATATATATATATATATATATATATATATATATATATATATATATATATATATATATATATATATTCTTCGGTTTTATTCTTGGGACTACAATAATAACAAATAATATCTTTCAGTTTAAAGATTTGTTTTGTTGATTGGATTTATTCAAATAATTATATAGATCTGACCAAAACTTTTGTGAGATTTTACATGTAAAAAAACATGTGAGTCAAAGTTTCCTCATTTTCCTGACAAAAGGAACTAGTATCTGCAATATCAGTAAATTTTGAGATAACTGCATTGACCGGGTTTATTTTGTGTAGAATTTTAAAATGGGTTTCCTTTGCTTAGTTTGGGATTACATATTTATATGGGAGAAGCCATGTTCTTTTGCAATCAATATCTTCTATTAATGCTGAACAATATGATTTCCCTCTTGGAGCAATTTTTATTTTTATTTATTTATTTTGTGGGAGAACAGTGTCATACTTTATTATATAACAAAAATATGTCACATGTCTTCACAAGAAGGAGTAAAAAGTTACAAATTATTCAAAATTAATTATAAAAATGTAATTATACAAAAATAATGAAAAAGATGGTATGCAAGCATAAATTTAACAGTTTTACAATTTGTTTATGTACTTTTAATAGAGTAAATGTACACGTATATAAACACTGTCATATTTTTATGTGTTTTTTTTTTTCATTGCTTCACTATTTATAGACGTAAACATCACATTTAAACCCATTTAAGAGAGGTTTATTTTTTGTAAACTTGCATCTGTGGAATTTACATTATAATAACTTATGTTTACACTATAAATTACACTATAACAGACTTATGAAAACATGCCAAACGTGTCACAAAGTGCTTAAAATAGAAGAAAGCATATAAACAAACAAGTTAAAGATCCAAGTACAGAGACACCAATGTACAAGCAGCTCACTATACTGTTAATTAGAAGCTTGGGTTTTAAATTAATTAATATTTACTTGTTTAACGTAAAAAGGGGTCAATATTACACCTAAATAAATGAGACTGACTCTGAAGTGGAACGAAATTAACACTTCAAAAGAATCGATTCGTGGAAATGAATCACCAGAACGTCCAGCTACAACAACAGTTCAGAGAAACAGGAACTGTGTTAACAGTTCCCAAAATTAGTTAACATAGTACCTAAAGATTTTTATTAAACAATTATTAACTAAACACGAATATTACTTGTAGTCATAATACACTGAGTGCTGTTTTTCTTAATTAGGATAAACTGGGTCTTTGTTTTACACCCGATGTGTTGGTTTCCACACGGTACGTATTTGCCGTGACCACACTCTTCCCATGCGTATGGCGTAAGATTCGGCTGATTTGTTGACATGTTTTCATAAGTATCGATCTCCACGTGTGCGGATTTACTGATATTATTCTACTTTACAAGATACTCAGTTAATTTAAACGATCTGCGCTTTGTGTAGTAGTTCAGCATGAAGATAAAACGGCAGAAACACGCGAAGAAGACCATCAGTTTCTATAAGTATAACTTCTCCTTTAGGGAACCTTTCCAGATATTAATCGACGGCACGTTTTGTCAGGCGGCGTTAAAGAATAAGATTCAAATCAAAGAGCAGCTGCCGAAATACCTGATGGGGGAGATCCAGCTCTGCACCACAAAGTAAGTTAAATTGTTATATTGAGGTAAAGTTGGTTTTATATTCGCACATTCGTTCATTGTAACGACGCCTATAATGTTTACACGCTATATTGATTGAGGTAAAGTTGGTTTTATATTCGGACATTCGTTCATTGTAAAGACGCCTATAATGTTTACACGCTATATTGATTGAGGTAAAGTTGGTTTTATATTCGGACATTCGTTCAGTGACAACTTGTGACACGCTTACTATTGTGTTTACTGTAGTACTTTGAATATTCTGACTTAAATCAACTCAAGTATAACTTCAAAACAACATTAGCACTACTTAATTGACTGTAAACTTTTCCCAGAGATGGGTTGCGGCTGTAAGGGCATCCGCTGCCTGAAGGATAAGTTGGCGGTTCATCCCTTGCCTTTATTAAGGAGAAAGTCTGAAAGTGCCATTTTTTTAATTATATTTTCGTAATAATCATATATTAAAGACATTTAATCAGTGAATATCGATTTTATTTTAAAATCTTACTGTTTTGACTCTTATGACAGTATTTATTACATACAATATTAAGGAAAATTCACACAAACCACATATAAAAGTTAATGCAATATACACACACTGCAAAAACATTGTTTTCTTAGATTTAATTTATTGTAATTTAATGTAATTTTCTAGACAAGCAAAACTTTAGTCTTTTTTTTCAGAAATATTAAGTGATTTTTTTTCTCTCCTTAAAACAAGCTAAATAATATGTCTGAAAAAAAAACTGATTATTTTCCTTGTTTTACGGGACAAACCCACTGAATTTTGGCATATTATTTATTAAAACAAGACAAAATGGTTCTTGAATTAAGATTCTTTAGATTAGGGGTGTCCAAACTTGGTCCTGGAGGGCCGGTGTCCTGCAGAGTTTAGTTCCAACCCCAATCAGACACACCTGAGCTAGCTAATCAAGCTCTTACTACGCTTTCTAGAAACATCTTTGCAGGTGTGTTGAGGCTAAAATCTGCAGGACACCGGCCCTCCAGAACCGAGTTTGGACACTCCTGCAGATATTTGGACTAAAAACAAGACAAAAACTCTGAGTGGGAAAGCATTTAATGCATTGCATATGTGTTTGTTGGACTTTTTCTCTAATATTGATGATAGAGTTAATGTAAAACACACCACTGTATAAAATTAATTTAAAAAATCATATGAGTACAAGAATTATTAGAGTTAACTCCATTGGATTCAGTGGATTTCAGTGATTTTCTTTTAATTATAGCCCATGATTGGTCAAAAACACTCCAGATTTATGAGACTTTCAAATGAATTGCCAACAAAATGTCAAAATAACACATAAATATTACTGAGAAAAGTTTCTGAAGAAAAATGGTTCATTTATATGCATGAACATTTACTTTCAAATGAGAAAAATATGGTGGCGCAGTAGGTAGTGCTGTCGCCTCAAAGCAAGAAGGTCGCTGGTTCGAGCCTCGGCTGGGTCAGTTGGCGTTTCTGTGTGGAGTTTGCATGTTCTCCCTGCATTCGGTTTCCTCCGGGTGCTCCCACAGTCCAAACACACGCAGTTAGGGGATATGGCCAGGCTAAATTGTCTGTAATGTATGAGTGTAAATGAATCTGTATGGATGTTTCCCAGGGATGGGTTGCGGCTGGAAGGGCATCTGTTGTGTAAAACATGTGCTGGATGAGTTGGCGGTTCATTCCACGGTGGCGACCCCAGACTAATAAAGGGACTAAGCTGAAAAGAAAATGAATGAATAAGAAAAATATATTTCATTCATGTTCAAGTTCATTCACATGAAATTATAAACTATGAAGACATGTTTGATTATCAATAATATTCAGTTAAATGTGTGTGAAAGATGGAGGAAAATTCAACACATATTTTACAAAACTAACATTACGTCATAGATCATTTTTCAAGTACATTTGACAAGCATACATGCTGAAATGACCAGGGGCCTCATGTACAAAGACTTGCATGGAAATCATGCTAAAACATTGCGTACGCACAAAGCTGTAAATGTGCGTACGCAGAAAAAAAATCAGATGTATGAAACACTGCGTACGCCGAATCTCACGCATATTCTTTTGTACATCCGAATGAACGTGAAACTGAGTGCAACATGCACGAGCACAAAACCCCTCCCTGCCTCCTCCCCCGTATGAATATGCTAATGACTCTACTTTGGCAAAACCCAACGAAAAAGCAACGGCAAAAGCAAGCAAGAAGAGAAACTTTGAACAGAATGTGAACTGGAGGTGCTGCTTTCAGAGGTAGACCGGAGAAAAGCGGTGTTATTTGCAAGTTTGTTCTCCGGAATTAACAACAAAAGAGATAATAGAGTGGGAGAGTTTAGCTGACGCGGTTAACACAGTTGGGTCTGAACATCGCACCGAGTGAATTAAAAAAGAAATAGTGTGATTTATAGGTGTAAAATGTTGCGTTGCCCTTAACAGTCTCAGTGGCGCAGCTCGTAAGACGAATGTCAACATGTTTTGACACGTTCGAGCATGAACTCGGTTCGAATCCAGCGTCTTATTAACTCTTTCTTCGTTTTCCCCCCGCTACATATCAGATTTTGCCAACTATTTATCACGAGAAAGACAAGTAGGAATCATTAAGTCTGTGCATCATATTTTATTTGCACATCTATTGAATGGAAATGTTTCTGATTCACGTATGCAAATTCATCTTCAGATAGTGTCTTTATAGCAATGTGCGTGCAGTAGATAGCTCAGATTACATTGGGAAAACAGGCGACCGCTGCAAATTGCGCTTTAATGTTTGCCTGGTCAACTGTATGGTATGGAAACCTTATAT